CAGTATACATATATAATATATATTTCTTTGTATATGTCCTTTTGTCTTAACCATTAACTCTATGTAATAAAAATATATTACAACATTTGATATGTATTCACAAAGCACAAGCAATTGTAAACAGAAGTGACAGCACAGGCCCTATTATTCAAAAATTTGAAGTCAGGATTAAAATTTATTTTACTGTATTCCTTTAAACTGTAGGTGCTAATATAGCAGAAATCTATATATCTGCCTTTACATGAATGAATTTGTATCTCTGAAATATATATTGAGAAGCTATTGTAATTTAGTTTACCTGGGACCTTAAAGTTCCTGTTAACTCATGGCTCTCTTGAGCATGTTGTCACTAGAAAATGGTCTGTGCATCTCTCTAGCCATGCAATTTAGAAAGGTTTTATCTATAATACGATTTTTTTCCTAAATAAATAGCCCCTGCAATTACACCCCATTGTTATACGAAAGAGTAAAATGCAATAAATTATAATGGTACATTTATAACAATATATTCAAAACATGCCCTATCTACAGCAGCTATTATTAATGTTATTTTGGAACTATCTTTCTTCAGACTGGCTAGGTGCTTTTAGAAACAGGAAACCATCTATTTCCATTATTTGCAAAACAAAACAAAAAAGTTTAAATACACAGGCTGGACCTTTTATATCTCTCATTATATGAATGGTCCTTACTCATCCAAGCAATCCCACTGTCCTTACAGTAAGAATTTGTAAAACCAGCCCCTAACACTTTTCTTGGAAGCAAATAATCATCTAATAATCTAATCTAGGGGAAAATATTTATATCTAACTGTATCTGGAAGGACTGGTATACGTTACATTCCTGCAATAATTCAGAATGGAATTAGTGACTGCCAAATATATGGAATATTTTATCCTAAAATGATCCTAAGAAAATAAAAACAATGCGAAAAAAATCTAAGATTTAGAAAAATGCCCTGTGTATGAATAAAGGTAAATCAAGGCACCTTTTAGTTATCTATTTCTATTTTCCAAGGCAATCTGTGATAATGAATTTTCAAACATCTTATCTGGGAAACTCTGCAGTTTCTGTTATAAAAAGACCCATTCTTTACTCTAGCTGATGCAGGTAACTATTTTACTTGAATATGTCTGGGCGGCACGGCAGAGCATAGAGAACACGTCCCCAGCCTCGTCACATATTTACTGTGTGACCCTAAGGGCAGTGAGTATTTTACTGACATTTTTTTCCTAACAGAAGTCATTCGATTCCAGATATTTTTTTTTTTCCCCTCTGTGGCTCATTGATCACATTAGCAAAGCAGAAGGAGTAGAAATTACCTGTCTTTGCAAGGATTTCATGGTCAAAGGTAATGTAAAACACTTTGATATCCAACAGGGCTTTTTAAAATCTTTGTTCAAGAACTCAAGGGGCAGCATAAGAGTAATATGACTAAATAAGACTACCTGTGATGGTCAGCAAGAGGATGGCTGTAGCCAACTTTGCACCCTGGGCCATGTTGCATTCCCACTAATACCTCACCAGGATGCACCAGAATTTCATTCAAAAGCACTGTTTTTTTTTTTTTTCCTTAGGAATTTTTGCTGGATCCAAATCCCAGGTGGATGGAGGCTTTCAATTTTTTGCGATTTGTATGATTTTTAAAAATGGTTTGCTTTAAAGCTCTGATCATATAACTACAGTGACTAGAAATCAGCTTCCTAGTGTTCAGTATTAACTCAGAATGGAGATCCTTTTCATAATGTATTTTTGTAGATTATTAATCAACCATGTGGACTCGTGCCTTTGGGTACATTGTAACCATGTGCAATAGTATTTCTTCAACAAAAATAATCACTTTTACTACACAATTACCTCACATGCATGCTGTCATACACCTGATGCATTTGCTTCTTGATACACATATTTCTGAAGTGCACTTACAGTCTATAGGACTAACCATCTTTCTTATAAATATAGACATATATGATAAACTATAGCAACCTCTCTAGTTCATTAGATCACCATTATTTCCTTAAAAACCCAACAATCCTAAATACATATTTACATGATACACACCAGGACTACAGGTAAGAAGTAGACATTTTACAAAGAATGCAGTAGCTCTTTTCTCCATGTAAACTTTTATACCCCCTCAACAGGTACAGCTGCCTTTTTGAGCAGGATGGTTTTCATAAGGAAATTTCACCCATCAAAGATTTTTGATATACTAAATGCTGAAAGCATAAAAACCAAATTAAAAAACAAACAAACAAACAAAACAAAACAAAACAAAAACAAAACCAAAAAAACAACAAACAAACAAACAAACAAACAAAAAAAAAAAAAAAAAACAAACAGACTTAAGGCTAAAATGTTATTGTTCTCACTTATTCAAGCTTGGGTTAATTACAAAGATATAATCCCTGATTCTGCAAACACATAGGCCTATGCTTAGCTCTAACTATCCAGGGCTACCCACAGAAGCAAATATATAGTGACCATAGGATCAAGATTTAACTGAGATTTCTGTGCTGAAAGTGATGTGCTGAAATATTTAGTGATTTTTAAGGTCAAATAACAATGAGCTGACATAGGTGTGAAGTCTCTGGGTTTGCTTTATAGGCTTCATTTAATCACAAGAACATTTAATGTGGGGAAGAAACAGCTCTAACAATAGTGAAAAGCAAGCAATTTCCAAAGGGCTGTTTCAAAGTTATTCACTGCACATGTAAAAATGTATAGGACAAGATATTCAGAGCCTTCTTTATTTAGGATTAAGAGGGGTAAGGGAACAATGAAACCTTAGACATGTAGGTCCAGAAAAAAATTACTTTCCTCAAGCTACCTAAACCTCCTGGGCTTTAAGAATTAGTGTGTCTCCTAAGGTAAGGGCCATCCAGGTGTAGGTGATTTCTACTCATTCGAACAACGTGAGTAGTTTCCATATAGCACATCTGAAAACCATTAGAGTCTTCCCAACCCAACAAGGGTCCTTCAGTGAAAGCTGTACTGCTCTTGTAGCCTCAGCCCACTCTATGGCAGCTACTGGCCTTTAACAAAAATTTTACCTTTCTCTTTGGAGAGACCTGGAGAGCTGTCAGTGTGGAAATAAGTCACTAGGAAAAGCCCACTGCAGCCAGGGCAACACATATCATTGCAACTGCAGCAAAGACAGTTTATAGTTCCCAACCTTCCTGACCCTCAGCCTCCCATTCACATCTCTTTCTGATCCAGTTTTACAATGTCTAAAGTTGTTCTGATGTAGCTGTTTTTTGAAGTTAAGTCTAAGATGTCTTCCCAACATTACTTTAAAAAAAAAAGAATTATTTCCAGGAAGATTTTATTGTTGACGTGAAGCAAACTGAGATCACTTCTCAGCACTATTGCAGAGCAAACAGATGTATTGGCAAAATTAAGATGGTAAAGTGATGTGTCTCTTGGGGGCTGGATGAGGTGACCTCCAGAGGTCCCTTCCAGCCTCAGCTGGTCTGTGATCCTACAGTATGTGTGGCTACTGCTGCAGCAGTCGTCAGGCTTCATAAGAATTTGTCCGGAACATTTTTAATATCTAGGTTAGATTTTTTTCAGAAATAAGAGAGATTATAAAATGTCTGATTAAGGGCCACTGTAAAGGGGGTTTTGGGGTCTTTTACTCAAAGAGTGAAAACAGGGGTAGATCTTATTTAGAGGAGTCACACAGTTGCCTGACATTGCAAGTGGGCACATACACATGTAAGGAATTCACCAAGTCCTGTTTACATCTTTCCATTTGTAAATATCATGAAAACAGGACCCTACACATTTAGAAGACAGATCTATAAAACCTGGATATAGTTATGTAATGGGACTTGATCCTCAGGTGAGACAATCAACTACTATGTTGATTTATGTCAGGAGAGGACCTGGTACTTATTATTTATTCCAAAACTTATCAGTCTCTTATAGTTTGTGTCAAATGCAATTAACCAGATCTTCACATTCAAACTGGCTCAAAAATATAACATAAAACAGGATCCCGGTTCACAGTCAGGGCTCTGAGATTATATAAATAACTGTAAAATGAACGGAGGAAAAAGCTCAGAATCTGCAAAATGACACAGTGGACTAAATTCTCTTAATCGTCTGCCAATGATCTGCCTGCCAAATTTACAAGATATGAAGAAAATGTTAATTGAACATGCATGTCAGAAATAGATATTGCATGTGGATCGCAGATACCAACAAACAGAAAACTGCACGTTGCCTAAGCATCTGCACAATTTTTGCACATGCAGTTCCGTATTTTAGGCACACATTGTAGCCATACTCTACAAACTTTTTCAAAAATGTTTAAATAACAAATGGAAAATCACGCGCGCACACACACACACACACGCATTTGTTAGACAAGAGAACAGTTCTGCTTCATGAACAGAGGTAATAAAGTGTTGTGCATTACATTTACCATCATTATTCTAACTCCCTTGAGTCAGTGTTGTATAGTACATATAATACTCAGCAGACAGATAATTACTCACATCTACATTCATCACTTAGACATACATTTTAGAAAATTTTGCCCGTTGCCTATAAGAATTCAGCTGAATATCTAGCACTTAATGAGCCACAGTATCATATTTCTAGTATCTTATAAAATGTCATCACGAAATGTTAGGGTATTATTTTTGTTTTGTATACTAAGTCAGTTTGTCAAGCACCAGCATTTACAACTCTCGCTTGCTTGATGGTAGAAATATGACAATGTGTCAGAGAGCTGATATAAGTAAGGGGAAATTATATTTATTCTCTGTTATAAGATTAATTCTAGAAGAAAGGCACCATGAAAGAAAGACAAATTTTTAAACATGTACGGGGGAGAGATTTATTGCTCATGGTGACATATAAATCAATCAGTGACTGACTGCGATACACAAGTATAATGAGACAAGTTCAGTACTGAATTCTTCTCCATCTTTTACTAGCCATCCTGAATGTACAATGTTAGTTTTGTTTTGTTTTGTTTTGTTTTGTTTTGTTTTGTTTTGTTTTGTTTTGTTTTGTTTTGTTTTTTCTGGGAAATTGTCTTACTCTATTTGAATATGAATTTAAAATATGAAATCCTTCTGCAGCTAGGTTTATCGACATACAGACCTCCCATTGACTTGGTGGCAGCCCCATGTATAAGTTGACAACAGCTGTGGACTTCAACAATCATCCTGTTGCAATTTATTTACATGAAAGTGGTCTTAGTAAAATGTTTGGCAGTCTGATATAGAGCTTTTTATCTTTTGAAACTCACTAATAATCAACTTTCTAATATTTGGTATTCTGATACAATCAAGTCATCAATATTACTTGAATTTCTTAAAAAACAAATATTGAACTGGGTGGTTTTATCTATTGCACCTGAGAAAATTACGTTAAGCCTAAAAAGTAAAATGATTTAGATGAGGTAGACTATTTAATCTGGCTAAGGGCTAATTTTGAATGCAATGTTGTAAAACCTTACTTAAATTCTGTGACTATATCTGTGTGTATGTTTTATTGTAATGATATTATTTCTTTATAGCTAAAATTAATAGTTGATCTGAAAATTTTTATTTACATAGTAGTTGATCTTCATTACACTAATGCTTCCATTTATCTAGCAGGTAACTATGTAAATTTATAGATTAACATGGTTCGTAGCAGCTGTAGTGCCATGGCAGAGCGAGGGCTAAGGCAAGGCTCTCCGGACCCAGAGCTGAGGTGTCACCCCACGTTCACTGACTTTGGGGTGAAGCCCCTCATGGAGTGAGTTACCTGCCTGGGCTTTGAATCACTGGCCAAGAACTTCAGCAGCGGATGTTTTTTGCAAGGTATGAAGGAGACTGGAGTTGCCATAATATCTGTTCTAAAAAAAGACCGATATTCATGGCAGAGTTTGCAAAATGGAGCATGCTAATGTTTGCAAAATGACTGATATTGAACATTTAGCATAAGTGATAGGGAATGTACTAATTTAGCTCATTAATGTTTGATGTCCGGGATTCTGCAGAGCTATAGGCACCAAACGGTGCCCTTTTCCTGGGGGACATGGGAGGTTTAACTAAAAAGTAACACATATTTTTAGCGCTCAGCGACTTATTTTCTCAATATGATCCTGACCATATTTTCTCAACATGGTATTGACAGTCAGAATATGAGCAAGGATAGGTGGTATTTCAGCTAATTTTTAAATTGCCATTGCCTGTATGAAGCTTAATTAACTGAGACTATTCAAAATCTGGGCATATATTTGCCTTTTACTCTGACAAAAGAAACTGTGTACTTTATGACCACTGAACAGAAGCTTTTTTGACCTACCCAGCAAAAACTAATTTACTTTCTGATGTTAACTTGCTGTAGTTTTATGGATTTTAAGTCACTTTCTGGAGAAAAATGTGTGTAGAAATAAGGACAGAATTGGTAGTCTTTTGGCAATTAAAATATAAATGTAAAGCATTTGAAACCAATAGTTCTTCACCTGAATATAATTTTGAGGGATTATGAGGACAGCACAAGTCGTTTTAGAAATTGATTATTCCTAAAAATCATAACAGAAATGACAACTGATTAATTATTGCTCTTGGTATTCTACAGCTTAGTTGATAAGAAAACACATTAAAAATTGTCTCATTTGATAGTGTTTTCACTGAATTGAGAGAGAAGTCACTGAAAATTACCCAGGAAAGTAATTATTCATGAGTCACTGGAGGATGGCTTCATCATCACTTGTCTACGTGACAGTTGTGAAGCCATCTACCTGCTCTAGTTGTACTTACAATGAACTAAACAATGTTTACAAAAATTAAGATACTGAGATGGTGTCTGAGGAAGTGTGACATGTAGGATTGTCCTGATTTTGAAAATTTTATTTGTATTTAAGCCTATTTTAGCTGCAGGCTGAACTGATAGTATGGTATATGTTAATAACATTGCTATGCAGAGCTGCAGTCTGGAGCTATAAAGATCAATACTGAAACTTCCTGAGATTTTTCATATTCATATGTGGATTCAGATTATTGGCTGCACTCTCATAGTGGGAAGGGGGCCTGTTATTTTTGCTCTACTTGGTTTGGAAATCATACTTTTAAATTCAGCTTTAGTCTTACCTTTACTTTAAGTAACATATCTGTAGAAAAAAATCCCATGATTAATAATATCTCAGAAAAATATATATATTTTTTTTCCCCCCCCTGGGAACAGGCCCCAATTCTATAGCTTTGGGCAAAATCCATCTCTTTATAGCTCAGATATACTTGAAAGTAGGCAGGAGGCATCCTGACCTTTCCATCCTATCTAACATTTTTATTTTTCTGAAATTTAATGGGGAGAAAATCCGTGAGTTAAATGGGGAGAAAAATTTAATGGGATTCTGTGAAAGTTATTTTAAAAACTTAAAATAGACATGGCTGAATCCAGCCTGTAGTGTACTTTAAAAGTGATTTTTCTCTTCCTTCAGTTCTACAGGATTGTTCAAAAAATAGGTATCAGAAGAGGTTGAAAGCTATATTGGGCACTTTATGAGTATCTAGGTAAAGATTTTTCTATTAAGTTTTTCCTATTAAGAGTGTTTCTATAGAGGACCTACTCAAGCAACTAGGTTGGGGCAGTTTTCATAAAGCCAGGTTGGCAGCTCGATTGGAGGGAATGTTACCTGCAGCCAGTGAAAAATACAGCACAAATATCCCTCTACAGCTTTTTAGGATAATATGATGGCACCGGTTTGCTCCCATTACTTTCATAAGTCCTTCTGCTGAGGACTAGCTTTTTATCCTGTATATATGTGTAACTGCTGATGGAAGTCAACGGGAGATTTGTATTTGCAAGGCCTGCAGGACCACAGATCAATAGCACTCTTTTGGTCGGAGGCAGGGGGTACAAAGCCTCCTGTCTCCCTTAGGTGTTACATGGGCCACTGGAGGGACACGGGCTGGGCTTCAACCTGCTCGTGGTGGCCTCCCAACACCTTGACAGCCAACGATAGCTACTAGGGATAGGCCAGTTAATTTTGTTTCCCATACATCATTTTATGTGTCTTGCAGGTTCCATACCAGGATCCTCATTCATTCAGCTGCAATATATTCCGATTGTGCGATTCACTTGTGAGGGCAGAGGAATTGATGGAGCTTCTTTTGAGGATCTTGTTTATGATGTCTTTCCATGTCTTCTTGTACTGATGCCGTAGCAAAGAGTACACAAAAGGGTCTGAAACAACTTTGCTGTAAGCTAAGCACTTGGAAATGATTCCCCAGTGGTAATTGATGTGGACCACAGAGGATAATTCAACAAGTCTGTGGAAAGAGGAAGCTTGAAAGAGTGAATATTCATATTAAAAACATGGAGCAACAGCACAACTGTAAGCCAATGACACCCCACCCCGCTCCTCCCAAAAGTCCCCAATTTATTCTTGGGCAATTGCAAGAAAATAAAAGAAAGTCATACTCATGAAAATGTGAATGTAGTCTTCCCCTTACACATTTCTAAGACTGCAAATGTAAGCTTGAGGTCTGTTTCCCAAGGATGGGACTACACAGCTCCTAGCAGTGTCTTAACTGCCAAACCTCAAGGCATCCTTGACTCTGTACAATTAGCTGTACATTTACTGAGGATGGAAGTACACCTTGGATGTGTGGCCTCCTAAAAGACTCTCTTGGTCATTTGCCTCAATAAATGTTGAAGAATTTAGTGCAAAATGGAATAGCTCCATCAGGATATGAGGCAGTCTTCAAAAGAGCCTATTTATTTGTTATTGGAATACACATTTTGGAGACTAAAAACCGAGTTCAAATCTCTGATGTAAAGCTGTATTTTCAACTCATCTGGCTCACTCAGGCCATTAAGATATTTGATAAAGGGGCACCCCTCTCTCTAGAGTACTGTAACATAGCCCTATTCTTACTGTCTAGCAAACATCATGTCTAGGATCATAAATACTCTGTGGTAAGCAGATCAACACATCACATTACTGCTGATGAAAAAATACCATGCAGCATCTACTCATAAAATAATTTCCTACATAACTTATCCTCAACTCTTACACATTTAGTCTCTGTGCCAAAACTCATCTATAGAGACAGTGTGTGTTATTTTCTCTGATGACTCTAGGGATTTCAGTCCTAATAAGATCTCATTAGACAGTGATATTTCACTTCATTTTTAACTTCATTTATTGTTTTTGTTTTGTGCATTTTTCTAGTAGCCTGTGTCATAAAATCATGTTTCTGGCAGCTGAACTTCATCACAGACTTAATATACCTCTAAAGGGAAAGAAAGTAGTATAGTCTCCCCAGGTATGTTTCCTGATGATTTTCACACTTATTGTTACCATTGAATCCATCATACACAGCAAATTTAACCACAAGTGTTGTAAAAGATTATTTCTGCATATCCTAAGATAATTTTCTGTTAAAAACCATACTTTGAGCACTAAAGTTTGAGACTGGAACGCAAAGTGCCATTGCTTAGTCATATTCCCCTACCATTAGCTATCTAAAAATACAGCATCTAGTCTGAACTCATGGTTCTAGGTCCCTTCTAGAATATCTGAGGAACCACCTCACCCATACTATCTAGCTTTCTTAGCCAATCCGGCTCCTAGAGAGAGTTTGATGCTTTTAAACAGTTTGTCTGGCTCATAGTAGAAGTTCACAAGGAAGGAGTATTCATCACTGAGAGATGGCACATTATATCTTGAATTTAAAAACTGGTCAGTTTAAAGGCCAAACATATACTTTCACAACAAATTTAGCAAGGCAAAACTTTTATCTCATTAGGGGAGGGAGGGAGAGAGGGAAGATCTTTATATATTCCTCATACCTAAACCAGTACAGATAGTTCACTTTGTAGTGAGACAGTATTTTGACATTGAAATATTGATAACTTCACAAGGTTTTCTTTCCCCATGTCTTTGAGCAACGCTGAAGGTCAGTTCTGTTCAATATGTCTCTACAGCTGTTGAGAAACTATTGATTTTTCTAGAGGACAAACAGCCTCATGTGCTGCTATAGAGCCCCACTATGTAATGGCAAATAAGACCTTTTCTGAAACAGCAGCGGGTGCTCTTAAAACCTCCTGGAAAATATTTCAGTTGCTGGTGTTTCTTCAGAAAAAGCACCATTTCTAAGGAGCATTCTGAAGCGTGGTCCCTGCAGCAGCAATGGCAATAGTGTTGGTACTTCAAGCGGTTTAGAGATGAGGATAGTTTTCCTTAGTCATTTTATTCTCATTCCGTAAACTTCCACTACATCTTGTTGTTTAAAATAGCGCTGGCAGATGGCATGGTCCAGTCATTTGATCTCGAAAGTGGGACTAAGGAGCCTTAATTTGCTACACTACTGAGTATGAGCTTCTGTCTTCTCTCTCCATCCTGGTTTGCCTAGACTGCAAACTCCATGACAAAAGCACTGTTTCTTGCTGGACAAGAGTGCTGGGCTTAGCACCAGGGGTCTGCAGCCAGGGCTAGGGCTTTAGCCACTGTCACGGTATTGGCAGTTCTAAAACTGACAGTAATTCTTGTGCTTTGTGCTAACAATTTGATCACTTTGCATATCACTTCCATCAAAAGTGAGGCACACGTGTACAAGGATGTTTTCAGGGGTGGTGTCATTAGCCAAAATGCTCTATGGCCTCACAGATGTGTGAGACATTTGAGGTGACCAGGTTATCTACATAAAAATATTTAGGAACTGCTCTTGCCCTTCCATGCGTGCTGCTTGGCTCAGTTGATCACTGTAAGCAATTTTGAGATACCAAAGAACCACCATCTGTCTCATTTCTCTCTCCTTTCATCTCTGCTAAACAGATACTGTTCTTTCAACCTCTCCTTGTAACTCACGGTTGATATCTTTCTTACAAAGTAGGATCCAAACTCAGACATAGTTATCATCTACTCAAGCTGCCAGAGGGTCTCATCTGGTATATTCTCTCTTGTTTAATAAAATGTAGCTTATGACACCCACGTTAATATGCTGTAAAATGAGAATTGACTATTTGAAACTTAATCATCTACTGAGTCATATTTACTTTGTAATCTACCATGAGCCATTCTTCTTGTTATTCTCTTCTTCACATATTTGATGCCTTCTTTGGATTTTGAATTTCATCACGTTGAATTTCATCTTGTTGATTTACTTTTACCGAATGCTCTACTAATATGAATTTGATTAAGTTTAATTAAATCAGTGGATGCTTTGAATGACCAAAATATGACAAATTTGTGTCTGAGTCTCTGTCAATCAGTTCTATGAGATGTTAACAATCTCTATTTAAAGCATATCAAATAGACACTTCAGGGTTGCAAGCCTAGACTTGCTAATTTTACATTCATTGGCTGATCAACTAAAAACTCTATACTTTTATCAAAAGAATATTTTATTTGATTATGTTCCCTAAGCATCCTTGATATTTACACATTTTGCAATTTCTGTGTATTATTTTTTTTAATAAATTACATTTGCAGGTATCAAGCAGCGAACACGGAAATGCGGACAAACCCTAAACTATGAGATTCTATTTCATATACAAACAATTATCAGTCTTTCAAGTCATATCACATACTTTATTGCCTTTGAAAGAGGGTTTTGTTTCTCATTTATGAGGGAAATTATATGCATAGCTTCAATTTTCATGAAAAGTTTCAGCCAAAAAAAAGACATTTTCAGTGAAGGAGCATTAATATTTCAGTGCTACCTAATTCCCTATCTTACTTTCATAAGCCACTCTGCTACTGTCTGGTCTTCAATATCTTGTTATTTCAAAGATATAAGCTCTTTTGTTGTGATACTTTGTTAACATTTTAGAAACATATAATTCTGTAGCCTGTGTCATGTCAAATGGCTATCCAATTATTTTGTTTGACTTTCAGTACACAAAGGAGAATGCTACGTTGAAGATTAAGACCTTGATCTTTTATGAAGATAATACACACTGAAAACCTTTTATATACACGTGCAGTTTATCACTTTAGTAAAACACTTTACTGTACATGTATACGTCCTACTACAGTGGCAAAGTATCTGTTGTGGACTACTTAAACCTGAGAGCTTAGCTGAATTATGGAGAAAATTCTGAACAGATCAGAGTCTCAAACAAGTTAAAACATCTTCTTGTTCAGTACGGAAACAAAGCTGGCACTGCATTTTGGAGCTGGTAGATGATGAAGTTCTCACAAGAAGAAATTCAGTCCTTCCCCCAAGAATTTGAATCAGCTCTTTAAGCTTGCATTTCTAACATTTCTGTTTCTGTCTAATTCTTATTATTTTTCCCACACACAAGTATAAGAATTAGACTTTAGTAGTTTCTTTTGGATTGATGATATGAATAAGCTGACCATGATTTTTATGTTGCTGTTGATTTTACTTTATTTTCACTTTATTGCTTGGTAGACTGAATGTTTTGTATGCTGTCTTGCTAGTGAAAAAGCCCTATTTTGATGATTCACCCTTAGCCAGTTTTGCCTCTTAAGTGCTGCATATGTTACAACTGCTCGGCTTCTCTAAGGCAGCAGACTTTTGGGGTCTTGTAGCAAATCTTGCAAACCATTGCTTTTAGCCACTGCTGTTCCCCAGAGCTGCAGGAACCACCTGTCAGCACAGAGATATGAGAGTAGCAGGGCAGCAGTGAGATACGGTGAGAGCAAGCAGCACTCCCCAGCTTGTACCTAAAGATTTTTCTATCCAGGAGGAAAATATCTCTAACTCACAACAGCTGAGGTTTCTGACAAAGCCTGGAAGGCCACTTTCTTCAAATATGCCAATATAATATTGCACAGGAAAATCATGCATTTATATGCACAGACAGGTAGATGAGAACATAACTTGCAGAGGAATTATGAACTTGCTTGTCTACCTGAGCAGGATCGGCATGCAGAGGGCAAGCGATCACTTTAAAAACACAGTTTGTTTACCCCTTGTCCCCCAGAGATGATACAAGAGAATTTTAATCTTCTTCTGTCTGTTCCACCATCCTCCTCTGTAACCTGAGGCCTTGGGGCTATGAACTTCTTTCTGATATTACTTTAGGATTTTTAATTTAAAGCCAATTTCCTCATACATTGACAGCACTTATTAACTTACATGATCAAAGTTCTGTATTTCAGTATGAAATGCCTGAAGTTGGAGATTAATATTAGAAATTAGTATGACTTATTTTAATTTCATATTTAAAAAACTCCTCAAAAGAAATAGGTTTTGAACAATGTTATTTAATCACATAATGATGAATATAGCAAAATAAGAGATGTGTACTAATAGAATTTTTACAAACCAAAAAATAAGCTATGCAAAGAAATAAGTTGTATGAGGTAATACATCTGTCATACTGGTACAGTGGAAACGAATCAAGAAGAATCAGATTCTACTGATAAACTACCTGATGTCAGCCACTGAACTAATTAGAAGGTTGTTTTCTTGATAAAAGTGGTGTCTAATTTGATTTTTACCTTAATGCTATCTGAAAAACTCTGGTTTACCCAGAAAATAATTTATCTGGCTGGTGTTATAAACCCAACTCCTTCACCTGTTCATGGAATTGCTAGAGACAACTATTTGGTTTTAGTGTGGAAACAGAAAGATGTTGTAGTAAAGCCTTGTGATATGCTGCTTTCAGGCCCTCGATTCATGAAATACTTAGAAGTATGTTTAATTTAAGCATATTGCTGACTAAAGCTGGCTGTCCAAATGAGAGGCTGAGCAATACACTTCATCGGCTATCTTCTGTTCACTGCCTTGAAGAGTGATTGATTGCCCCTATCTTGTGCATGCAAAGCACTGGACATAATCCAGAAAATAATACTTGCCTACATACTTATGTTCAAAAGCCTCCTAATCCCCTTGACTTCAAGACCCTCAACTGTATGTGTGACAGATAAGGAAGCACAGTAATGCACGTCCTCGAATACTCTTCTGTGAGGCGTAGCACCCAACAAGTTCTCAAGGGGGACGCAAGGAGCTGAAGAGGGAATTCCCCATAGCCTGTTGTTCAGAGATCCCCCTAGACATATCAGAACTGAAAAGGCCGAGAAAGTGATAGCCTTTTCCCCACCTGGCACGCCTGGACAGGGCCCAGCCCTTCATGCATTCTTCATGCATTCAAGACCCTACATCTTGTCTCATCTCATAGTCGCTCTCTGTGGCAAAGTTATTAGTCCTCAACAGATGGAAGACTCGGGACAATGTTTAAGTGATCTTTGTATGGACTAAAGGGAGGAGGACTAGGATTTTTCTAACCCCTATTCTTTATTTTAGGGCTACTGGGACACAGATTAGGATGCCGCAGAGTTAAGAGGAGGTGGGGAGGTGGTGCCTGAGTGCTGAGCTGAGATGCCTATGGAGGAGTACAAAAATACTTCTGACAGTCCTGTTTAGAGTACTCAGTGTCACTCAGGAAAGAGCCACAAGCTATTCTGTGACCATTTTCATTAAGTTCAGAGACTCAACATATAATGAAATTTAACCATTTGTAATGAGACAAATACTCCAATATCTTGCAGTGTGAGAACTAAGGCCAAATGTCTGTTAATATTAATCCTTTCACACCCTTTTAGAGTGTGTGGCATGGAATGTCCTCATGTGACTACTGAGTGAAAGTGAAGGTAAATATAGTAACACTGTTACAAATATATTTGCAACATTGTTACAAATAAACAGCGTGAATCAATTAGCTAGTGTTATCATGAACATAAAATCAATGTGACGTGACATGCAGTTTTCCATTTTTACTAAGAGACTACAAGACCTTCTTGTGAATTGTTTTGTTAGAAATATAAATTCAGGATATTATACTGAATTGGAAAAACCTGCGGTCGGCTACATACCCATACTAAGTCTAGCTTTTTCAATGATTATTTATGATGTATCTGAGTTTGACTGAAGTCAGCCCCAATAATTTCTATTTGATAGCATTGGAATAGGAGATATTTTTAAAATATTTTTTTCTTTCCCTGTTCTGCATAGCAGCATTTCAGTTTTTCCAGAGTCTTTTAATAAGGAATGCAAGTTGTAAATTTCCTTCAACAACTGGATAGCACTTTTCTGGATATACTCACTTTTTAATATTTTTTTTTTTTGTATGAGTAATTTTGTGTTTCCCACAGGATCCATTTCCAAAGATAAGCTAGCAGATAGATAAGGACATCTGACCATAAATCACAATAATTTTTTTTTAGCTATGAGCCAGAACAGCTTTGGTATTTGATGTTTATGACTAATAAACTCTATAGAGTCAGACAAAACTATTGTTTAAGTCTTTGGACCGTGTTCTCACCTCAGGTAGATATTGTTGACCAGATTTTTACAGCCTGACCTATTCAGCCAAGTGTCTTCTCCTGAACTGGGGATGCAACCTGAGGAGTATGTGACTACTTGACCTGAAAAAAAGTCTGCAAAATCCTGTGGACTGACTTTCTAAATCATTCCCATGTGACCAACATCTCAACTGGGCTGACTGAACAGAATTTGGCTCACAGACTGCATCAGGATTGTATCTGGTAAGTGCTATGACATTTTGTACAGTTTTGTTAGCTCAGTAAATGCAATCTCTGTCATAGAAGTAGAAACAGTGAATAAAATTTTTACAGGAGACTTGAATCATTTTCTGGTTCAGCGTGCCCTACTTCTCTGAGTTGAGTGCATGTCAGTAGTCTTTTCCAGTAGGTAGGTTCACACTTACCTTGTAATGACATAAGGTGCAAAACAAAGGATAAAAGTACCAATAAAGGTACTTATTTTCTTTGTTGCTCGCTGCCTCCGCCTCTTTTGTTCTTCTAGACAACGCTCTCTTACACTGTGTGACATTCAACACAAACAAGAACATGAATCATAATATCAAGTAACAGATTTTAATGGCTTTACTTATGGAATGATAGCAATCAATTGTTCCAGTAAGTGCTGTATTCACATAAGCCAATACCAGGTGCACTGCATTTATATGGGACAATACCAAGTATTAATGCATTATATGATCATCTTACCCTCCAAAAACAATTACTGAAAAATACATTATTATATATTTATATGCACACTCCTTCACTATATTGATTTATATATAGTCAAATTGGTGGAATTCAGCTTTGAATTCAGTTGCAGCTCCTTTTTTAATTACCATAAGTTGTATTTGCAGGCCAGTGTTTGCCTCATAATATTCAGAGATTTGGAAAATATCCAGAGTTGGATAGGCATCATGCTACCTCCCTGGAAACAGCAATTCCAACACCACTACCTTAGGAGAAACTTCCCAGCAAGATAAGCAATAATACACAATAAAAACATAACAGGAAAACCATTCAGCCCAACATTGGAGCAATCACTCTATCCCATAGCTGTGAACCGTGTGGCCATAAATCTTTTGGCAGCCCGTGCAGCTATGCATGGTTGCTGTGCTGAACGTTCTGCAAAATGAGGAACTGTATAGTAAATCCACAGTGCTGCAGTATTCTGACTCCTCGCCTCAAAACAGCCTTGTTCTCAAATAAACAGATACAAATTAGTGACACCCTGGGTGTTTTTTCTACCCGTGACATTCTAGGACAAGAGCTTCTCCCTTGAGTTTCCCAGTGATGGTCTCACCAGGTCACCGGAGAGCTGCTGAGACCCTTGGTGTGCCAGCAAGGTGCTGGGAGCATGGGGCTGAGACAAGACTTCTACTGCAGGAAATCTCCTTTGAAATCAGCACATTTGCTTGCCAAAAGAGTGGTAACATGAAAAACCATCCCATTTCTCTACCTTCTTGTGTAACTCCTGAACTGGCTGTGCATTTTGAGGAAAGTGTGTGAGTTACTGTCTTCTCCAGATGGGTAGGTTGGATGGGCAGCACTGGTTGTATCTCTCAGAGCACCAGGACCATCTGTACCTGAACAAATCCCTTTGGGAAAGGGAAAACCAAAGCCAGCCTGCAGCCCTGAAACCCCTCTCTGCGCACATAACAGCGCTGCTACGTGTTAACTCATTGCACAGGTCTCGTGGTAATGCAATCACATCCTAGGCAATCTGAATGGTCTGGCCCATGTGCTGTGTTTTTTAACTGCTTGACATTGGTCTCTCTGTTTTTATTGAAAATTTGTAATTGATGACTCACTGCCAGGTTCCACACTCACATCTGTGAGTAATAACTGTGAGGTTTATGGCCATACCCTTACTCTTACGTTACTTGTTGTACCTGCAAATGTTTAATCATCATCTAAATGCATGTTATGTCCTGAGGATCTCAGCATGCTTCGGTGATCCCTGCAGTAGTGAGTTCTTATGTTTTATCTTTTGGTTGTGTCAAAGAAAATGTGTTTTCTTTGTTTTGTTTTATATATGTTCTTACACTGCCCGTCTGCAGAGCAGCTACAGTGACGTACAAAATGAAACAAATATTGGAGGAAAAGTTTGTTCTCCTTGAAATAACAAATCATCTTGCTCTTAAAGAATATGCCTAAGTAGAATGAAAACACATCTGAAAGTGTTACATGTTCTATGTCTGAGTTATTTGCAGCTAGAAATGACAGCTGAGAAGGAAAAGAAAAAAAAAATCCACCTTTCCAAGGGAACCTATGTGCTTTCAGTTCTGCAGGAGCTGGAGAACTTAGTGTATTTTTAGGTGCAGACAGATGATCTTAGAGGTTTGACAGCTTCACTTTGAACCTGTGTTATTAAAGTCATAGTATTACAGGCACACAGTGATATAGGAAAAGAAATCTTCAAAGTAGGTTCAGTTAGGGTGTTGTTAAGGTGTAGAGGGTGGTATATTTTTAACAGTTTCCCCAGTTGTATCTTTTTCCTACTGGCATACAGAAATCTGTTTTTGACTGCTGAAGTTCACATATTATTTGGGAAGTCCTGGTAGACTTCAACCAATTCATTTTTTTTCAGCCTTTCCAGATGTAGCTAATAATTACCACATCACATAGGAAGGTATTTTATCTCATTCCTTCATATAGACAATGTACGCAGATGAGTATTTTGCTTTTGCACACACTTTTATATGCTAAGATAAGAACATATATGCAAGTTTCAGTAGTGACCCTAGTGAGAGAACCGGATTATTGACTAAGCTTTCATTTAAAGATTTTAATATCCTGGAAAATCTGTGATATATCCCTTTGAATGTTTGGTATTTTAAACAAAGTTTATGAGATACTGGACTTATAGATCTGTAAAGCTGGATACACCAGAAAGATAGTACAGATTATTTGGTTGAAAAAACACGTGGGTTAAACACTTAAGTGAAGTCTTGCCCAAACCTCTCACAATACCTAAGATGCCTTGGTCTTAAAAACAAAGTCAAGAAAAAGCAGTATCCAGTAAAAATGCCTAAGCTAACTTGAGAGGACATCTGTCCTAAACATTCACACAATTTTGTGTGGTATTTAGAGGTTTCCTTTGTACTCATCTTGAAGGATCTTCAGATGATCATTCCTGTCTTTCTACGTCACAGATAATAAAGCCATCTGTCATAATGCCTGTCGCTAGACCCCCTTGCGGGTGGATTCTGAGTCATAGAAAGCACGAAAGTGTCTGTACACATTTCTCAGTGTTGAAACTAGACTGTGCAATAAGTCAAAAAAGTCAGGGCAGTCTAAGGTGGGATTACAAACTTCATGTGCCTTCTCCCAGCATCTATGTGTATGCTGTTAGGTACTACAGTAAAGACTGAAAATGTCTGCATATACACCACTTATATAATTCAAATGATGTTTGTTTTATGTCAGAGCTTTATGAACATCACTGACTGCTCCAGGAGACCTGCAGCCTTTGGCTAGCTCTCACAGTAGGGTAAGCAATCCGAGGTCTGACCCTTTCAGCAGCAGTAGCTGTCTCCAGTTAAGGCAACACCACCGTAGGTCAAATCAGCCACCATTTCTGTAGTCTAGAAAAGAAGCTAAAACTCTCCTTTCTTAGAGAGAGGAGTTAGAATAACCTGAGGTGAGAGGGAAATAAGAGTTAGTAATACAGGTTACTCACAGCAAAGTGCCTGTACAACTCGTCCCCTCTGAAGAAAGGAGGTATCATTCCCACAGCCCTATTGAATCCACCCCCCCAGTGAGATGATTAGAAAATACACAATCACCCTCAAATTAACCTAGACCAGAAAAAATGCAGAGGAGAAATACCATTGAGATTTTTGCCCTTTTTCTAAACTTTGCTGTGCAGACCAGGCATACTTTAAGAACTGGGCATAATGATTGCTATTTCAAATAGCCCCAGTGGGTTTATGACACTGTCCTCGGAATAACCACCACATCTCATAGTGTGTGCAGGAACTAAGACCAGTCAAGGCACAGTTTAGCAACCAGACAGCACATAGGGCAGAAGGGTGTTTTTTCCTCTCTGTGACTTGGTGGATAAGGGAAGATTTATACATGTGTTTCTCAAGAACAGTAACAGGACTTGCCTAAAGTTCTGCTCTGCATTCTTGGTCAAAAAACAGATCAAACAGCTTAACTGGAGAATTTTGAGCAAATGTTTCTGTTCCTCTAACAGTGTGGTGCCCTGCCCTGATCCTTTCAGGCTTATTTGCCTTAGGCTTAGGAATCCCCAAAATATGACCTTTTTTTGAGGACAGCCACATGTGCTTTCACTCCTACAGCTTTACTCCTGGCTGGCTGCAAATGGAGAGAGCTGGTGTTTGCCTCCAGCTTGCAAAGGACAGCAAAGGAAGGCGGGGGGGGTGGGTGGGGGGGTGTCAGGTGGGATGTCTGGTGTGGGACTGCCCTCTTCAACTGCTCTCAGCTTTCCTCTCTTCTTCCAGGCAGACTTTTTCCCCCGTATCAGACACCTCCCTGCACTGCCAGCTGCCAGTGTTTTTCTGAAAGACATTTCCTTTCAGTCTGTGACAGAGACAGTCTGAACCTTAAGATCCCGTCTCTGACTGTCTCCTAAGAAGCACACGCATCCCTCACAGCTGCTGTGTCACCTTACCTAGCCAAACCATCTTCTCCCTTTTTTCCAGGCAAATACATCAGACCCTTCCCTTTCCAATCACCCGTTCCAGCCACGCTAAGACCTAAGACAGACTAGTTCCTCTGAGCAAACCAGGCTGTTTTCTTTCCATACTGTGACCAGTGCCTCTGGATTCCCTTTTGCAGAGCTCACCCACTGATTCTGCCACCCCGTCCCAGCCATAGCTGGGTCTCAGCCCCATCCACCCCAGCTCATCAGAGTTTCTCAGCCCTCAGCCAGGATTCACTGATCCATCAGCCCCCCCTGTCCCACTCTGTTCTGCCTCAACTGTGCAGGTTCATTTCTCAAATCCCCATTTTCCAGACAGATCACTGGCTTGTCCTGCTGCTCCCTTCTCACCAGCCTGGTCCCACATCCTTTCAGCTGTGCCTGTCTTGGTCCTCTTTGTTTCCTCCTCTCCACTTCTTGTGGGCAGAACAATCTCATACTCACACCACACACTGATTTCTTCCTTCTCCCTGCACCAGGCACATTCCCCAGCTCCTTACCAGGATCACAGCCTGCCCAGCACCACCCTTGGACTTCCATCCAGCAAGGCTTTCTCTCCTTCAGCTTTACCACTATGCTTCCCTTACTGTCCCCAGGAAAGCTGTCTCTCCCACCCTCCCTCCTCCAGCCAAATCTGTATCCCTTCCAGATCCAGACATAGTTTATTCAGGCAAGATTTATAGTTTCTGTATAATCCCTGATGAGACTCTTTTACACAGCATCCCAGCACACATTCATACCTGTTTGGTGTTTGCCTTAAACCCATTATCCTCCCTGACCCTGGACACTTTTCTCCTCTGGTACTTAAAAACTCTCATTTGAAATGAACTTCATACATCCCTTGCTTGTCATATTGACATTGCTACTGAAGTCTCTCTCACTTAGATTTAAGTATGGGCACTCAAGTGTATGCATTTTGCAGATGTTATTCTCTTTCAATTCTGCCTTCAGGAAAGATAAAGTTACAGATAGTACAGCAACAGGGAAACTGCTGGGCAAAGGAGCGGCACACATCACCCCGCTTCCCTTCTGAACTCTGACTGAAGGGACATGTGCAGCCTCAGCCTGTTCCCTCTCAGGGATCCAACAACGTTTTGGCTGACAGTGTCAAAAAATGCAAAGCTATGGACCACTAAATCCATCTTTGGAGACAAAGGGCAGTGATCTGATCACTATCTCAAAGGGAAGTGCATGCTCAGCCAAAACTGCCTGTTTCTTTGCTCTCCCTCCCAAAGCAAGCCCTTAAGCATAACAAGAAAGAGTTGCTTCTGCAACCGGAAAAATAAACACAACTAAGAAGAAACATGCAGAACAGAAACTGGCAAGAAGGATGCTTATTTTCCTCCCCTCCCCATCCCCTGCTATGATACAGAACAGACTGTATTTAACATAACACTGAACCCCGTCCTGGCTTCCTCCGCAGTGAATATCTCACTTGCTGAACACACAGGCACCTTACCTGGGATGGATGTCCACAAGCAGTACCAGGGTCTGCATAGTGATCACGTCAATCCTCTTACAGTGAAACCGTGCCACCTTCAGCACTTTTAGATATGTGAAACACAGGACTATAAGGGAGAGGAGGAAGCTGAGGGTGTGAAAGACCCCAGTGAAAATCACAAACTGTGTCCTATCCTCTGGTCTCTTGTTGTACAGGGTGCAGGAGGCATAGAGGTGATGGAAACCCACCCAGGAGAGAGAAGCTGCCACTATCGGGAACGACACTGAGTGTAACCATGTGTAGCTCAGTATGAGAGCAGCATCTCTGTATCTCATTTTGGAGTGGTAACTTAGAGGGAAGACCACAGCAATCCACCTGTCAATGCTCAAAGCTGCCATGCTCAACATGGAGTTCGTGGTGAGAAAAGTCTCCAGGAAGCCCACAATGTGGCAGATCTGATCTCCTCCTGGTTGACTCTTGTAAATGATCCCAGCCAAGGTCAGGGGCATGTTCGAAACAGTCATCAACAGGTTGCAGAAGGTGAGGTTGAGGATGAACAATCCCGGGACCTGCTTGCGGATGTCGGCGCTGTACAGGAAGCACATCAGCACCAGCACGTTGGCCAGCAGGGCCACGAGCATCAGCACCACCACCACGAAAGCCAGGATCACCTCCCAGATGCTCATGGTGCGTCCAGTCACAGGAGTGACATCTCCGAAACTGCGTCGCGCCGGCACCCGGGGAACATGGTGCGAGGCGCGCTCACCTCGCCCTCCTCCCCAGCCAGCTCGCGCTCTTGCATGCCCTCCGTATTTTTAGAAGAGCTGCCGTTTTTTTCTCCAACCTCCCCCTCCTCGCTGCTCCTTTCCACGTCAACGCTTTCCGAGACGTGCACAAAAGCACTGGGAATGCCCATCAAACTGTGAGGAGGGATTAAAAAATATCAGCAGGACTGAACCACTGTCTCCATTTGGTCCATTTGAAGGAGAGCAGGTTATTCTGAGAAACTGCTCTCCTGAGATCCCTAATTATCAGCTCAAAGCTTGCAAGCAATTCACCGAGTGAATTGTGCTCTCTTTCTCTCTTGCTTTCTCTCTCTCTCTCTCTCTCTTGCTCTTTCTCTCCCCTCCCCTCTCCTCCAACCCTCACTCCCTTCCAGGCTGAATGTAACCTGCTTTTTATGATCACAGATAAAACCCCATTAATGGATTAAAGCATGTACACTGCTGGTGATTCGCAAACGTGATTATGTCATCCCCACTCCACAACCCCTCCCCTTCTCCTTGCGATTGTGACTAGACTTTCCTCAAGAGAAATCCCATGCTTTCATTTAATTGATTTAGCCATTAATTTGCAAACAGCCATGTAACCGAATTCCTGCACTCCAGTGTGTTTCCTACATTTCGGTGCATCACTTTCACAGTTACTGCTTGCTCTCAGCCAGAGCAGGGGCTTTCTTTTCTCTTCATTAGCTGTGCTTAAAAACATGGCAAAAAATTTATGTATTCTGCTACTTCTCTGGAACTGTCATTAGGCTACCGGAATGGTTTTACTGCTCTAGTTTAGCACTTTGCAGTCCTGTGTCTCCAAGAACAATGCGTAGGAGGAAAACGATTGCCTCCCCTCCTCCTTTAAAAACAGGGAAACTAAAGCCCCAAATGCCACTGTCACATGCCCAAGGTCATAGAGCAAGTGAGTGGCAGAGACAGCAATGTGCTGCCAACCTTGCTATTCAATCATGTTTTCTCCCCTTCAACATCCTTTACTTCTTCCTAATCAAAGCCTCCCTCCCTGTGAGGGTGAGCACCCTGTGAGATCAAAACCAAGAAGCATCTTGGCAAAGGAAATAGGAAAGAGTCTATATTGCACATAATAAGGTGTTAAAATTGAATTTGTTCTAAAGGACGGACTGGGAACTGTTTTCTGATTGCCTTTCCTATCTCTTTAAAACAGTTTTAACTGGGAATGCTGAGACTTTGTGAGCAATCGGGACAGCTTTCTCATCAAGGCAGCCGAGCCTTAATCCCTGCACAATAAGAAGGCAAAAGATACCCTGCAGCACAGTTATTGTGGCTTAGTAAGTGCCTCTGCACGTGTGCAAGAGCTAGATGCCTAGGCGGATTTTTCCTCTGTGCTCGCAGCCCCTGCCAGAGCCGTGCATGCTCAATTTACAGCAGCTCTGCATCACAGGCACCTGGGCTCATCTGCTCAGGAGCAGAGCTGTCACCGTGCACAGTGTCAGGGTTTGCATGTTGTAGGAAGGGCCCTTCTCTTCTGCTTTTATTTTATTTCGTTTTCTTAAACCAGGTTTTAAAGTGCTCATAAAGACAGTAGCCTGTCATCTAAGACATCTGGGAGTCCCCAGGATGGTTTAGCTGGGTGAGCAGGGCCTCCACCACACGCCCAGCCGAGGAGGAGCGGCTCAGGGTGCAGATCCTGGACTTGTCCGTGAACCCTGCGAGCTCCCTGTCTCCAGAACACAAGTACCCATCCTCATGCTGGGCTGATGAGGAGCAGGACTTCAGTCTCTGGTCTTTTCCTGAGGCAGTGATCCAAAGCCACAGGAGAAAAGCCTAAAGATGATCCCTTCTTTAAATGGGAGGAGGTTTTACCCTCTTAGGAGACGTAGGCTAAGGAGATGAGAGAGAAGATGCAGATCTTGCTGCTGCTAGATGACACCAGAACCACAACAATTTTCTTTCTTGTGTAGGAAGCAACAGCCCTGGCTGAGAAAGGTGTCCTAGCAGCAGTGGCCTGAGCAGGGTGTCCGTGTCACAGGACCTGTCATGACACCAGCTTCAAGCTCAGCAAGCAAGGACAGCTGCAGGCCCCCAGGAAGAAGCCATATGAGTTGGGAGGCACTGAGGAGAAAAACGTGGCAAAACTTGCTGGCAGACTCAGAAGGACAGGAAAAAAGGAGGGGAAAACCTGGGGACATATGGGGGCTGTGTACTCGGTGGCAGTGTTAGAGAGGAATCTCATGTCTGCTTGGTGTCAAGGTGATCCCTGACTCCTCCTCCCCACAATCAGACTCCTCCTCAGCTTAAATCAATGCTGGAAGATCCTCAGATGCACAAATCATTCAAGGGCCAGCAGCCCAGGCACTGGGTAATTTAGTCATCTATCTTGCCTTACAACACACGGGGCTATGGGTTTATCAGGATGGTTTTCTGAAACAGCGTGCTCCTGGGCTCAGAAGCGCTGCACATAATTCCCTGGTGTGGCAGGGGGGTTGGTATCAGTGTCAAGCCTGGGTGGACAGGGAAGGAGGAAATTTGCATCTGGAGATAAAGGATTCGGGATTACAGTCAGGAAAGGAGGATTCTCCCAAACTGATGTATTGATCTGAGATAATGGGAGGCAGAAGGAAACGGTTCAGTGAAGCAGTGATGGAATATGAGAGGTCAGGTTTGGAGGTGATATGGGATAGACACTGCAGTGGATATGTGTTGGGGGGGCCAATGTGGAGCTGATGTGGAGGAAACAGTGGACAAAGGGAAATGGTGAAAAAACCTTGAAGGGCAGGAGAGGCCAGCAGGACTATGGACAGGCTCTACTGGATCTCTTTACTGACGAGTGGAGAATCATACAGGAGTGGATAGCTGTCAAGAGGAGACCCACTATATTCTCTGCATGGTGTCTGAGCTCCTTCTTCCAAGACCTGAAATCTCCCCTCCCTCCACCTAGCCCTTTTTCTCCCAGAGTTTGGTAGGGTGTTGTTACCATTCCTACTGTTGTGGGAAAGCTAAATTAAATCAGCAAGTTTGGCATGTACTTCAGTAATTGTTGGCCTAAATGAATGAAGCATTCCTAGTCTATGCTTCATAGTTTACTGATTGCTTTGCCTTATTCTATTCTATTCTATTCTATTCTATTCTATTCCATTCTATTCTATTCCATTCCATTCCATTCCATTCCATTCCATTCCATTCCATTCCATTCCATTCCATTCCATTCTTCTATCAAGTTATTTTGTGTGCTACAATTTTCTCAGTTGTTATTGGTAAGACTAAACTCCCAGTATTTACAGGAAAAATGTAGCAGCTAAAAAGGGCTTAAATCTACAGTCAAGTGAAAAAGCATTCTAAATTTCAGGACAAAGCTGAAGTTCTCTCTTGATGACTGACTTGAGACTCTGCATATATGTCTAGCTCTAAAGGCCCAAGTAATTTACATAACTGATTCCCCCATTGGTAATCCCTGAAGTTGAGAATATTTACTGAACCCTTTTGGATTTATTTATCATGCATACCTAGAAGAGCATGATGGGCCCATGAAATAGCTTAATTTTATACAAATCAGGAGGAAAGAATATGCTGTGCATATTTTATCACTGTAGAGGAAATTAATGTGTTGCCTGTGAGTCCCTAATGGCAGGGACTGCAAGTTTGATTTGTAATATTTCAATGACAGATTATATTGTGAATTAACAATAAGCACTACTAATAAATATCAATTCTCACCAGTGAACTCTGACAGTAGTAGGTCTGGGTTTCAAAAATAGGTAGTCTTTAACATTTGCTCCCTTATCAAGCAGACAAAACCACAGAACATCTATTGTACTTTATATATATTAAATGCAGAGGTGACGCTGTGAAGCAGCATGGCCCAGCAGGTAGAGCTGGTAAACAAGAGATCTGAGAACTGTGTGACCACGGGGACATTAGTTCACCAAACCTCTCCCATCTTTTCTTTGTCCCATAACCTCACGGGGACAAAGACAAGGTGCTTGTACACAATGAGGTCCTGAACCTGAGCTTAAAGGCCTTATCTTAATCAAATTATTAATTTTAGACACAAATGACCACTTTTAGAAGGATCACACAAATCTCTTGCCATTCTTTTACAATAGCCTATAGCTAATGGATTTGTGGCCTACATACCATATACATACCAGTTTAACAGAGATATGATTTGTACTAGTTTTGTACCAAACAGGAGGGATATTGCAACAGCGTGAAACTCTTGAAGATAAGAGATTAATTTATTACTCTCCATGTAGTAATTCATATTGTATTTTTGTCTATATTTGGCAATGGAAAAAGGCATGAAGCTGATTAAATCTTCAGCATTTCAGATTGACCTTTCAATTTCAAAAAGTCTACAATACATGGATGGAAGATTTGTCTTTGCTGGGGTGTTCTCAAAGGCAAAAACTTTCTCAGCATATTGTCTCACTGAGACAATGAAATAGCTACTTGGGATAAATGAAATTTTCAAAGTCCTGAATATCCTAGATAGAAGGCTATTCTGATGACCTAACTAAAACATCTAAGACACTCATTTTATAGGAAACTAAGGCTTTACACCACTGAGAAAACTACTTGAAAATCTAACCTGAAAATGCATTTGAGATCTGATACATTTCCTTTGTACTGAGGTTTGTAGCTCTCCAATTTTTCTCTGTCAAAATTGGGGAATCTCAGTTTCATGCTTTCACTGCATTTTGCTTCTCCTATTGTCTCGCCTTCCTCCTTTGATCAGTAGTGTACAAATTTTACAGGACTTTAATGACAAAAGTATTGACACATAGAGGAGATTATTTCTCCTTTATCTGTGTCTTAGCCAGTTCAAAGACAACCAATTTCCCCTGGGAAGCCAGGTTGCCTGCATACAGCCTGTGGGTATTTCTTCTTGCCTCCATCAGTCTTTACTTTTCACTTCACAGCTGTTTGTAGAGTTTGTAATACATTCATGAATTGTAGAACCAGGTTGTTTCACTTTATTGTCAATTAAACTAAATTTTAGTAACAGCAGTATCTTTAGTCTGATTATGTGAAGGTCAGGTGTCACACTGGAAAAAACAGTGTTATCCTCTTTTATGAGAGTAAGATAATGGCTCATGAAATTATCATTCTGCTGGATTGATGGTAAAATATCACTGACTCCAACAGTCAGAATTTCACCATATAATGCAAAGTACAGATAATGTGAGTAATGACTTGTGCAATATCTACATACTTTGTCAGCATGGTAGACAGACTTAACAAGGCAGTTGGCCCTGGTAGTTCATTGCTCCATTAACGATGTCAGACGAAATGAAGAACACTTTCTCCTCTGCGTTTCCAAATTCATAACTTTCGATTCACTGCGTGGCAAGTGA